TAATGGTGAGGTGAAATGTCAAGAAGCTTTGTGTAAATCTTCCAGTAAACTGCCATGTCCCAGAGGAGCTGGGGGAAAGGGACAGATCTTTGGGAATATTGGAGGATTATCAAAGTTGGAGTTTTGCTAATTGCATTTGAAGATCTCTTCGTATAGAGAGATGTCTCCCATACATAATGGGAGGATCTGGAGTCTTAAAGATACTAGAAATGAAAATCCCTGCCATTATAAATACACAAACCAAGGCAAGTAAGCCTACTAGATTTTCTATGAAGCTACTTAGGCTAAAACACTCTAAGAGTTTGGGTGAAGTGTACAGGCCTGTACAGGTGAGAATGCTGCAGAGAACCCCATCCCCAAAGCTGGGGAGCACTCACCTCAGGTAAGGCAATTTGCTGGCCCTGCATAAAACAGGGCATTAATACTTGGTCACCAGCCCTCACCACAAATGCTAGCAGAAGATGTCAGTTTGGCCAAATTATATAAACAATCTTCTTCCTAAATTTTGTGCGTTTATTGCTGCTTCTCTGGAAATATTAAATGTTTCTCTGAACAAATACTCTTGTTTTTAAAAAGCCAATTCTTGCTAATTTAAAAAAAGTGTGGCTGGGTTGATTAATGTTTCTTATTAGAGTAATAATCCATCTGTTATGGGGGGTGGGTCAATTCATAAAACTGTAAATTCTGGAGAGAAAAGATCTTGAATCTTTCCCATGGTAAGCATTTATGTGGGTTTGAGATTTCTTGTTTGCATGTGTGGAGTCTTATTTGGCAGCAAAAAAGCAGCGTGGAGGAGTAATACTCTTGGTGTTAACATGCCATTATTTCTTTTACTCCTTCTTGGGCAGAACAGTGTAGACCTGTGATACTCGGTGTCACCAGAGTTCATGTACACACCTGTTTTTTTTGCATGCATCTGTTCTCCCTGCCAAGTACAATAGTAAAGACACTGTGTAGTTTTTAAAATTGTTTATTTAATAATAAAAATTTTTTGTGGGGTGTCTCTCTTACAAGACTTGTTTGTATGCTTATAACCTTCTGACACTACAGTGAGATTTCAAATGAAGAGACATGAATGTGCATTACAAGTGTGTGATTGCTTGTATCATTATGAATTAGATGAAAAATTAGTTCACTGCAGTACTTTTTATCTGAACTGATCAAAACATCTTCCAGTCATGTTGCTAACAATATGTGATAGGAATAATAACTTCACTTGTTGTGTTCCACGCTGCAGCCGAGAGGCATGTAAATACAAGCTGCTTATTTGCAAGAAGCTTCCAGATTTGCAATATGATTGCTATGGAAACCACACAATGAAAAGCTTATAACCATCTGTGTGGTTTGGTAGATTTTGCTGCATAGCTGAGCTGGTTTTGTTTACTGTAATCAAAGCATTGAATAGAATACATTAACTCACAAACTGGGATTATTCAAGGTGTAAACTAGGATTGTGCAATGAGAATGTGTCAGAAACTATAAGGCTATAGAATACCAAATAATAACGGCATTACATTAGAATCTAATGTAAAAAGATGGTTAGGTAACATGTTAGTAGAGGAAACTGCTAAATTTATGCATGTTTATCATGGAGATACCGCATTCCATTGGAGGAATGCACTGTTCAAGCCAAACATCCATTTTATACTTAAGTAGTCCAGTCTTCTCTCCTTCCTCCCTTTAATGGATTTATATAAAAAAACTTCAGCAAATTTAGGGTTCATTGTTCACTTTTAAAATTTTGTAGATGGTAGAATCATATGTGATTAGGTGATTATTTTTCTGTTTTTTCTTCAAACTGCAAATTAAATAAGTAAATTATTTTTAACAACTTTAGTGTACTAACTGAAGAAAACCTTTAACAAATATAGTTAATTCCTTGTTGCATTGTCACAAGAATTTTGTAGGTTGTTTGCCATTAAGGTCTCTAAGTATCAGCATAGTATGGAACATAATCTGTATCTCAGGAGTTCTTTGGATCTACAGCTCTGGAAGAGTTCATTGGTTTGGTTAGTGTAGATTAGTCTCATTTTGACGTAGTGAGAAGGTGGAAAATAGTATTTTCTCTCTGCAGTGATAGTGATGGTGTGAAGAAGATGTACAGATGAAAAACTGGAACAGATTATTTTAAAGGTATGCATGACTCCTTAGACACAGTGTCTTAAAAAAACCAGAAGTATTTCTACTGTATTTCTTAATTTAATTTTTAATCTTTTGACTCTGTGCCCTGTTGCAACACAAAGTTATGCATGTTGCATCAGACTGCAGCTGTAATTCCTGAGGTAATCGAGGTTGCTGTGTTTAAAGGACGCCGCCTGCACATAGTTACTGCTTCAGGCCATAATATCAGAAAACATGAGTTAAGAACCACAGGTTCTCTTTTACTACCCTAAGCCAAGCCTACTACAACTGCTCCACTCTGAACATGATTACATTAGCAAACGGTGTGAACCATTTGCAATGGATTCATAAAGCAGAGGTTTGTGCCAAGGACCTGATGGTTGTTGTGCCTGTTTCAGAGGAGGTTTCCTATGCAGTTTCTTCAGCCTGATACCATGGACTGAATGCCCATTAGCAGCTGGACAATGTCCACCATGCTTCTGGACTGCCTCTTCCAGTCAAATTGTACCTGAAAATTTGTCCTCTCTGTGACAACTCTGTAGTGTAAAGCAAGGTGGGATGAGTGGGGATGGTTGAGATCCAAATCAGGATGCAAATATGGTAAGTTTTTTGCTTGACTTGGACACCTTTTGGAATTCGAAGAGCTTTGATTCAGACATTTTCATATCTTCAGATGTGGATCTGGTCAACTCTTGTCCCTGAAATAAATATTTCAGAAGAATGCATATATTCTAAGTATTTTCTGTGAAATAACAATGCAATTTACATGTATTCAGCAGTACCTTACATGTATTCAGCAGCACCTTACAAAAAAGTCTCTTCAAACCTCTGCTGCTGCTTTACTTTAGTTGAGATACCCTCTACTGGAGTCAGTCCTCAGTTTAAACTGGTCTGATGACCATGACAAGTGATAGAGTTAAAATCCATAGGACATTCAACACAGCAAGTGCTTTAGGTCCAAACATTCAGTAACAGGTAATACTAACATCTATTTAATGAAAGAATAATATGATAGTGTGTGTGTTGGATGAAGGTGTTTTTTTCTGGGAAAAGGGAGAAATTCTAGAAAATGTTACTGATACTGGGGTACTACTCCCTGTGAGGGGTGTAACCATGGTAGGGAACCCACAGAATGACAGTGCCTCCTAGTGCTCTGGACAGCACATAGGGATGAACTTTTGCCATTTCTGCTCCAATTGTGAGTTCTTAAAATAAACAGATGAGCATACTTGGAAATGTGTGACAAATGTTAATGCCAAGTAGGGGAATACATTTGAACATCTGAATGCAGTACATAGTTTAAAGTGTTTTGTGTGTACTACAGCTTCAGATTTCTCCTGATCTATTGCTAGGATTTTTTTTCTTGTTCTTTTTCCACCCCACCTTGGCTTAAAAAATAGCTTATATTAATCTTTACCAGATTTTTAACTAGTCAAGAACAAAAATCTTGCTGACTTAGTAGGGCAGAATTTCAAAGCTCTTTGTAAAGTGAATCTTATGTTCTAATTGTAATATTTGTAGGACTGTGTATAGAGGTTAGCAGCAATTATGCATACTCATTCCAACAGGTCTACTCTTGTGCTTTAAACATCTGCTTTAATGTTTGCAGGAGCAGTCCTGTGGATAGATTAAATTTTTACAAGGTTAAAAAATCCTTTGAACTTTTGATATAAAATTCACTCTTTGTCAAAGTAAATGGGCAATTACATACGTGTTTCACAATGAGGAACATTTTAAACACTGTGAGTGATTCATCTGTTGTCTGTCATTAGTAAAATATCAAAACTAGTTGCTGAAATGTGTATCTTACAAAGAAGCTTGACTATCTGTATATGATGTGATGAGTAGCAAAGGCAGAGAATTTAAATGTATTAAAAGTCCAATTCATGTTTGAGAAGTGGGTTTATCAATATACTATTTCCTCATTCAGTACAGCAGCCTTGTCAGTTTTGATATATTGTAAATGCCAAGATAAATTTGTTTCTACTTCCTTATGAACCTAAAGACAGGATTCAGCTAAAAGTTTGTTCCCCTTTTTTACATCATCAACAGAATTGTTCACTGGGAAATACAAGGAGCAGATCTGATGTCCCTGTACTGAGTAGAGTGTGGATTTACTCAAGTGAGAGTCTGGACTTGAGAGAGTTCAATGTCTGTGCCAGACAGGGAGGATGGAGCACATCTTTGGAAGTTGCCTGTGGGGATTTCAGACTGTTCCAAGCCTGCTAGCCAGAAAACATGCTTTAGAGCTGATCACTGCCAGGTTTTCTCTTTTCTTGTCTCCTAAACTTGCCCTAAGTCATTTGATAGAGTCTGGCTTGCTTAAAACATGGTCAGGCACAATGGGTAGGAGTAGTGAAGGGCATGGTATCTGTAGTGGCTGTGTTCCCATCATGCAGGTGTTGAGCTACTGTGTCTGTAGGACAGTGTGGAAAGTAAGATTTCATCTGCCTTTGTTGCATACTGCTCTCTACAACTGAGTTATTGCTTGGGCTGGGGATACTTTTTCACACCTTGGTTTCCTTTTCTTTATCCTTTTTTGGCAATAAATGTACGCAGCAGAAGAGGATCCTCATTCTAATTGCCTCGGAATGACTGAAAATCAGCAGAACTGCAGCTCTATATGACTGCATTCAGACCAGAGTGAAAAGGGAAACAGATGTTCACAATTGAGATTTTGAAAGAAAGATCTTGGAGTGTTTGGATGGATGGCGGAAACCACAGAAATAACAATGTTCCAACTTCTGTATAAGTGCAAAATAGTAAACAAGGCTTACAGTCTGGAAATACAGAGTGTGTTTTTCAGGCTGATGTGGGCTGTAATTCCTGTCAGCTGAGGTGGCCCTTCAGGATTTCATTTGCAGTTATGTGTTTTGCAGAAGAACGTCTTTCTTCAAAAGCTGAAGTGCCAAGCAATGAGAGGCAGGAGGAAGTTACCACTGTTTCAGGTAATTAAAACCTTTCCTCTTTATTTTGTTTATACACTTTCTTTTTACCTTTATTTTCTTCTCTCTTCCATTTGCTGTTTTAAAATAATGTTTTTATAGCTCTGTAAAGCTGTCTTTTTTTTCCCAGTATGTGATGGCAGCAAAACTGCTTAAGTACCACTTAGGATGCATGAAAACCACTTGAGAAGGATTTATAAAGTAAGCCAATTTATACAAGGTATTCCTTCCTGAATTACTTTGTAATGACTCAATTAGCTTTCATTTCTGCACAAAGGAGATTTAGTTGCATAAATTAGCTTATCATCATTGAGGAAGTGTCACTGCTAAAGGACAGTTTATAGATACAACATGCAGTTGCTGTCAAACCTATAAGAATGTAATATAGACATCTGTGTATACTTTGTGCTTGAGCAGAACAGACTTCTGCCATTCAGAGACTAACAGGGGACAACAAGTTGCCCAAGGGACTGGCAATGTAGACGTCTCTGAAAAGGTCAACTTGACACAGGCTCTGACAATCGACCCAAAGCTCTGTCTTCTTTGATAAAAATCAGATAAACTTAAGACCACTAATTGATCTGCAGCCTGTTTAAATGTTGGCCATGCATATCTTCATTGCATATAATTACCAGAGAAAGCAAATGAATCAGGTAAGAAATGCCAGAGTCCAGTGACAGCAGCATAAAAATTGGAAAAGGACACAAATGCCCAGAAAGGCTGTGAAGGATATTCTCTCAGCTTTAGCTTGGCAAAGCGCCCTTGTGCTAATTATCTCTGGGACTGGAAAAATAACTGCATGCACCATGTAAAGTCACATAGCCAGGCAACTTTTCTTAAAAGAAAGGTATTTCCAGTTATGCTTAAAAACAATATATTTTTGTGCTTCAAGGGCACAGACCTTTAGATAAACTGTTGGTGATTTGACACAGCAAGCAGAGAAGACTCGCTTCTTATCAGACCTTACACCTTTGTGAGATCTGCTGCATTGTAACTGTGACCTGCACTGACATGCAATCTGGCTCTCCTTCCCCCATTGCACATAATACACATAATTCTTTCAGGCCTGTCAAGGAAGGGGTGGGCAAGAAGAGTTCCTTTAGGAAGTAGCTCTGCAGTGCTCTTCCTGTTGCAACATGTGGAGAGGAAACAGAGGCCTGATTTCCTGACCCATACAGGAAAGCAGGAACAGGTTGCTGTGAAGAGTTTTGGGTTGCTTTTCTTGGAAAGGAAACAAGAGCCGAGCCATCAGATGCTGTTAGCATTGTGCTCTGCTAAAAACATGTGTAAAACAACATGACTCATTACAGCCTTAATATTTAGTACTCATTTAGACATTACTGTAATTATAAGAGTGTGTTGTCATAATGGAGCATGGGGTCAATCCAATTATAAAGTTGCCAACAGCATTTTTTTTCCACTAATGTACCTTCCTGAAATTCTAATTGCTCATACGTTTAAAAAACCAAAACCTTAGTATCTGCATTTTTGAAAAAATTTAATTGCTATGAGAACAGCCTTATCAGTCTTATTAGTATTTGTGTAATGTCATTGAAAATACCATAGCAGTTCCCCCCAGATGTCAGGTTCATTTCAAGCAATAGTTTTGTGATCTGATCTTACATAGTTCACTATTTAACACTGGAAATTTGTTTGACTTTTAGGGCTGAGTTGACATGAGTATTTCTGATAGGCATCGCATCATAAATACCTGACATGACTTGAGAATATTTTATGATTTTCTACACAAACAGTGCATACATTCTTAAGTTTAATTTATTGCCTCGCTTTACTAAACCTGAACTCAGAGAAAATAGTCTGCATATTGTCTGCTCAAGCTCAGCTTGAGCTCAAGCTGATTAGTGTAAAAAAATTTTCTTTTTTTTCCTACTCTTTTCTTGCCATAACATATTTCTACTTCAATTAACTTTCAGACTTGAGTTCTTTTTATTCTGTTCTGTTCTTCTTGGTGCTGACTCTTGCTGCTGGATAGCTTTGCATTAACTGCTAGGGACCTAATAATTTAAAAATACCAAAGCACTGAAGAGTTTCAGTTATATAATACGGCTTGCTGGGTCTTTTTTGTTATAACTTTCTACCCATTATCATTTCCACAATCCCTATTTCAGTAAGTGTCTTTTTTTTTTCTTTTTACTTTATCAGTGTAAATATGTTGATTGTTGGGTTTGATTTTAAGGAACAGAATATGTTCCTTAAATATGTTTGATTTTAAGGAACAGAAGAATGGAAGTGAGAAAGATTAAACCAAATATCTTGGGATGTATTAGACTTTGAGTCTAAATAAATACCCTACTGTTGTTTTGCCCTTATTTTGTAACTTTTCTGGCCTGTGGGATAAAGGGCAAGTAACAGGCATTTTTTGAAGTTTAGGGCATCATCAGAACGAACAAATAACTGGATTCTTTGACTGAGCTTGTCTTGTTTGGTGATTGAGACTCAAAACCGAGAGTCTAGATCACTTGTGTAAGACACTCATTCTGATAGCATTAATTTTGAACTTCAGCTGTACCTCCATCTTTAAGCCTTCACAATGGTGAATATTGAGCACATAATTAACCAAAGGGGTACAGTTTGTATTTTTCAAATGTTGTTAAAGAATCTTCAAATCTGACACTATTAACTTTTGAAAAATCTTACCAAGAGTTGAGGAACATGAGTCAGAATGGCAAGCTGTTTAATATACTAGGCAGTGGACCACAGTTGTGCATGGAAAACATTCACATGTATTCCTTCATTCCACAAGGAATGTGCAAGCAAATAATAAAACTCCTGGCTCTAAATCACTACCATAGTAGGGTTTGCTAACTTGCATGTCATCAGCGTTAAAATGGACGACTGAAACAAATCAGGCACAATCACATTTATCCTAACGTTTTATGTAGTGCATTTTCATATTTAGGTTGTAACTTTGATTTTGTTTTGGTCTGTTTAGTGCTCTGTCAGGTTTGTGCTCAGAAATGGGAATTGCAAAAATTGTCACAATGTAGGGGGCAGAAATTAACCTGCTGATTGCCTTAGGCTGCAGTGAGATAGCACACTTAAATCTCTCTGAAATATGTATTATTAATATGTTTTTCAAGTTATGGTGTGGTTTGGTTCTTCTTTTCTGTCTATTGTGGTTGTTAGAATATTATTATAATTTTTCCCCTTGAGCAATTCATGGGCATTCCTAAGTTTTAAATAGTCTAATATTTGAGATGCATGCTTGAGTGATATATTTTTCAGATTTTTTTACCTGAACTGTTCACCTTTCTTTCTTCAAGCACGTATTGTCAGATGCCAGTATTTTTCAGTGAAATAAGCAGCCTGAGACTACTGTCAGAGAGGCTGGCAGCCATTGTCTTTTGATCTGTCAAAATAACTCTGAAGGGTTTCCATCCGTGTATTGAACAAAAATATCCATTGTTCCTACTACCATTACTAGAAAAGCAGAGATGGCTGGAGTAAACCATGAAGAATTCTTTTTGGAAGAGTATTGATAACTATTGATAGTAGTTCATCCAGGTAGCTGTCCTGGAATAAAAGAAATATTTTCTGGAGAAACAACCTATCCAAAATCTTCTTCACCCATTTCTTGGGATTGGTAGTCTTCAAAGCAGTGGGTAGATAAAACCAAACTGCTTTCTGCCCTCAGATACACACTTAATGGTTTTTTATCATGTCTTATTTGTATTTCTGGACAAGTGACCATACCTTCAAAATGCAACGCACTTCAGTTTAGCAGTTACGTCGTCATAGTATTTTTAAGGCATGTAACATTTTGAAGTGTTTGGGAATAGAGTGTAATTTTAACAGAGTAACACCAGCAAATCAATACCTTTGGAATTTGAACTGTAATGGGCATGTAAGTTCTTGATGCTAAATCCATCTGTTTTCAGGTACTACATGTGTTTAAGAAGCTTCACATTATTTCACTGCCATATAAATACCAAATTCCTTTACTCAGACCTCCTGGTTTTGTTTTATACCATTCTTCAGAGGCAATAAAAGGAAATTTGTCAAGGTCTTCTCAAACTGAAAGGGACCAAAGTAAGAATGAGTGGGCTTGTGTTTTGCAGAGGTTTTTGCAGCCTATTTTTTTTTCTTCATTCTACACCTGTGTTTGTAAGCACTATGAATCATTTTATGAAGCCCTTTTCACTTTAGGTATATAAAGTCTGAAGTTACATTTACAATTGTCTTTCATGCATAGTTAGTTACCCTTATAGAATAGTTGTTCACAAACTTACACTGCAACTTTTTTTTCCATGTTTTTTCTTTCTGTGCTCCTGGTATACTGTATATATTTTTCTGAAAAATGTGGCTTTCTGATTAAAATAACCCTATCTTATGCTGAATTCACAGATGAGGGCACAGAGCCATGGTCAGTCTTTGGTCAGAATCTTCCCTGTTGCAATAAGCTTATTTTAAAACGCATCTTTCCAGTGTGTTCACATTATTAATTGAGTTGCTTTCCACTTTAAAACTTAATTAAATGCTCACGATGAACATAAAAGGAGAGACATGTCTCACCCGCTGTTGGGTCCCTTCTGTTGCAACTCACTTAAGTGTTAACAGGAGTTACTGCAGGCACATAAAGGTAAGAGCAGAGCTCAAAGTGGTAAAGGTCAGTGTGGAAAGTCATGATTTCTTTCAGTGATGTTCTGAAGAAGTAAAAGTCCTGAGTAATGTGTTTTAAACAAAATCAATAAGCCAACTGATGAAAGATTTGAGAGGTGGGATGTACCAAAATAGTTCTTTTATTTTTTTCTCGTGTGGACTTACGTTATTGTTTATGACACAGAGTTGGGAACTGTGATCTGTATAGTAAGAAATGACCAAGGAGAGATTCCGATTTAATATTTATCACAAATTAATTTTGTGCTAACCTGTGTTACTGTTTATAATTGTCTAATGCTAAATTGGTGAATAATGAGGTGAAAAATAGGAAGGGCCAAAATTTGGAGGTGCAACATTTCAAACTGATTATGCCTTCATATTAAAATGTCTGTGCATTTTAAAATAACTAAATCTCTTATTTCTGAATGATTGTGAGCTTTCATATGGGTATGAAATGTTGCTTTTGGGGTGAGGACAGAAGATTTTGGGCCCTGGCAGCCAGAACGCCCCCTAGTGCTATGCAGAAAGTGATAGATCCTAATCACCAGTTTATGGAAATTAAATGGTGGATAACTGGCATAGCAGCTTTGAATAGAAGGTTGTGAATATTTAGCCTTATGACAGTATTGCCACCCAAACAAGATAGCACAGAGTGCGGGCTGAAATGGAGAAAGAGAAAACAAACTCTTCTTGCTCACACAGAGAGTATTAAAATTCAAATCTAGGTATTTACCAAAATAGAGAAGAACACAAGTTGAATACCACTATGCTTTTATAGTGTGATGCATTCTATCTCCTGATACTTGATATTTTTAGCAGGATTTTTTTTGGTAATAAAATGAACCAATCATGGTTAAATTGTAAACTATAAATAATGGTGTAGAGTGCTAATGACATGCAAATGTAACTGGTGTATGTTGGAATAACCAGCAAGCCTGCAGTTCAAGGATCATATAACAAAACTAAGATGACAGCCTTGATCCAGCCAGTTCAGTGATATTTATGTTATCAGAATTAGAAGATAGCTTTCCAGTGATGTAAATTATTAGTACGTATACATTCTGTCTGGTTAGTGTATACATAATGTAACCGGTCATCTTAGTGGTATTGCTTACATTCTTTTTGCATTAACTCATCACACTCCATTCTCATGGAATTAAAAACAGGAAATAGTTTGCAGTGCAACAGAAGCGCCCAGTGTATTTAACTGTGTGTGAGTGCTGTGTTTCAATAGATGTACTCTGTATTGTAAATGTATGACAAAGCATTTATTACTGTGTTATTGCCGTATTACAGAGCAAAGAGTGCTAAATAATCAATCAGTTAATGGTCTGTATGGCAGCTTGAACACAGCACATCCATTGTGCTTATGCTGTTAGAAGGATGAGTTTATGACTGTAGTGTAGTTGCACGTTTAGCCAGGGCTTAATGTCCTAAACTGGAGCTGACACAAATATTTTTGAAATGCAGCTTCAGCAACAGTTTCCAAGTTCTCCAATATTTCAGAAGGAAGAATCAAGGATTATCTCAGAGGTTCTCAGAGAAGCTATTTAATTTTGTTGGAACGGGAGAGGGAGGGGGAGTGTATCACAAAATACTTTAGCTTCCTTTCACTGATCATTATTAATTATATTCTAGCAGTTTTATCAGTTTCAAGTTGGGGTACATATATGGCTTGCTAGAAATATACTGGCAGAGGAAAAATAGCTGCTTTAAGTTGCAGCTTTGAAAAATGCTTTGAAAACCTGTAGCTACATGTCTCTCAGTGATGCAACTTGCCAGTGAAGGGCTTGCACATTAAACTTATTTTTCACTTGCTTTCATGGCAGGAAGGAGCTGTTTCTGAAAAGAGGAATAAGAAATGTGTGCTAATAAATTGCTTTGTACTATTTGAAGGTTTAAAGAGTAACTTTAGTTATCCTCAACCTTGGTTGGTTTATAATTAGGTGCTGTTTTCTTTGCAGATAGCGAAAATACCGATTATGCCAATTTCTATCAAGGTTTGTGGGACTGCACTGGAGATGAAGCTGATGAGTTGACATTTAAACGTGGTGACGTTATCTACATTATCAGCAAGGTATGAGACACTACTGGGGCTACATGGTTGTAAAAAGAGAGCCATGGCACAAGGGCACATTCTCACAGTTCTGTGGGGGGAAATTGGCACTCCCTTTCAAATCCTTTGTCTGCAATCAGATAGTCACTGCAATTAATTATTTTGTCAAATGAACTATAATCACAATTAAAACATAGCCACATAACAGGAATTAACTTTAAAGCATGTTTATTTACGTGTTAGATCTTGGCTACCATTTGTTAACTGACTTAACAGGAGACAATGTACTTTCTGCTTGTAGAAGTTAACCTTGCAGAATTTTAAGTTACCATGTATGTTATGTTTTTTGTTTCCTGTTTTATATTCCTGACTCTGCTGATTCTGACTTTTTTGGGATCTTCCTACAAAAGATGGTTTGTGTTTTTGAACTATGCTTTCACCTTTGTATGTAGATTGTTATTGTTCTGAGAGCTCAGATTCCAAATTCATTTGCTCTGACAGATTTGGGCATTTTTTATTATATTTCTGTTTGCAAAGCAAATGAGAAATATAATTTCTCTCATCTGAATTAGCACTAAACAGTAAAGGCATGAAGTTTTGTTTCATGTTGATGTTGGTTAATTTTCACATTTTCTCTTGACCTCCCCAACACAAACAAAACCTCTGTTAAAATATATATATCATGGTCCATTGAAGTCTACTTCTGAACAATTAATCAGAGGAAATTTCTATTTTCTCCCCCTATTAGAAAAAAAAAAACCAAACTGCTTTTATAAGTTCTCAATGAAAAAAACTACTTTATAAAATATGTGTCTATCTAATTGCTGTTCAGTGTAATTAGTACAAAAAATATTGTAGGTCACTGAAATACACAAGTAGGTGCATGAAAGATAAAGGCATCTGTTTGTCCTAGCTTCAAATTAAGTTTTGTCACAATTGCTTTAAATCTTCTGTGATACCTTTAACTACATTTCTGGATAATAAATGTAACAGCTTCTCTTTTAAATAAATTTAAGATTTATGGATATAAGGATAGTCCTATATAAAAATATAGAAGATGTATTACTAATATTAATTTGACCATGTATGTCTTTTGGGGTATTTCATTGTCACTTAAACTAATAACTGAATTGCATTACTAAAGGCTGAATAAAGCTTGTGGATTGGGCAAACTTTCAAGCAGTTATTCAGCACTGAAGAATTGGACTAATTTAAAATAACCACTTCTTCCCCCCCTCGCTCCCCCCAAAAAGCCCATGAGTGAATGGATTCCACTGTATGAGTTTGGCCTCTTTGTGGGTTGTGCTCTTCGGGTACATTATGGCAACTATAAAATCTTAATCTTCAGCTTGTAGGTGAAAAAAATTGTTTGCTACTCCTTCCCCAAAAAAGTGAGAAATTTAATTTAAAAAATGGAGCAAAATAGAAAAACAGTAGCTTAAGCTGTCCTCTGTATATCAACAGTCCTGTTGCCATGCCGTGATTAATCCGTAATCGGTCCTTGAAGCAGGCTTGCTGCTGCTCCAGATATATAGAGCCTCTCTCTGTGGGAATGATTTCTGCTCCAAAATACAGCCCAGAAAATTCAGCCCTGTTCCACTTAAAGATTGTTACAGCTTTTTCAGAAAAATGAGTGTTGGCCACTACTGTCAGCTTGGAATTTAGGGTCCTTGGAGGGGAAAGTGCCAGAGAATTATCTATCTTAACCCTCCACTTGATTCAGTTTCAAGGTCTAATCATTTATGAGCTCTTTGTCCAGTAAGTGAAAATATAACCAAAGGAAAAGTGAGCCTAACCGTCCCGAAGTGGGTCAAGACTTTTCTTCTAAAATATTTCCTAATCCACTACATTAATACTTGGATTTTGTGGCAGTCGGCAGGAATCCTAGGCAATTTTTTTATTTTTTCACACCATCTAGTGGTTGAAAATGAGAGATGCAGGTACTGACAGGGGGGCGATGTGTATGCATCCAAAATGGTGTCATAAATTCAGCTTCAGCTGAACCTAGCTGTGGCTTTATTGCCTTTCTATCATATGTCAGCCAGGAACATTACTCTTGAAAATCACATTTTGCTGATAAGGAAGTAAGTACGGGTATAGCCATGTTATAGTAAGAAGGGTGAAGCATTAACAAAATATCGAGAATATTTGTGCAACATGTAAGAGTTCTTTGTTTTACAGTGAAATATAAATGGTATGGCCTGCTCTGATGAACGTGATAAGATAGATATTCATCTCTCCCAGCATTAGTTATGCCAAAGCAATATATTTTTACCAGCTTTTCTCATACCTGTATAGAAATTAGGGGGAAAGCATTATTTGCTTCCATGAAATGAGATCATTAGTATAACAGAGTAATTATGAGCCAGTTTAGCAAATTTGGGCATTTATACAATTTAAATAAAGCAAGAGGAGGAATATGTTACAGTAAGTTTCTAGGTAAATGTCTTTTAGAAAAATGAGCATAGTTTCACTTTGGCAGTGTTTACTTCCTAAAATAGCTAAGTATTATGCAAAGACAAGTCCCCAGAATTTGCTTTTAATGAGCATCAAAACTCAGTGTTATTGCAATGAGCATGAGCTCATACTCTGACAACAGAGATACCTATGCCCTAGTGCAGTTACTGTGGAAAAGCATGTTTTTCTTGTTTTAAAGGCGGATTCAAAAAAAACTATTTAAGCTATTTTCTAAATATTTATGTCAGTTGTGGCTTTTGTGTAGCAGCAGTCCTGTGGGCTTTTACAAAAAAAACCCCAAAAGCCTCACAACTTCTTTCTAAGTTATTCTATCAAGTTTCCCTCAAAAGTTGAGTTTTTAATCTGAGCAGAATTAACAGACCTATAACAATAGTACTTGTTTATTTTAAAATGTAGTTAACATTTCAGATTAATTGATTAATGTATCTGTACAGATATACTATTACTAGTATTTTATAATATTCTGGAATATTCAAGTGGCTTTTATCACTTATGCTATGAATGATGTGAACTTTCAGAAAGCTATATACCCTTATTCCATTTTGTAATGAAAAAATACAGCTGTACTGATAAAGAGACATGTTAATAACATTTCTTAGTTAATATTGACTGTTAGAAATGCAATACTTTGTAGACCTGTTTTCTAAAAGGGTGATTGCTCTTAACTCCTGCTCATATATGGGCTTGCCTTTGCTTTCAAACCCATGTGATAAATGGGAAAACAGACCATAGTATAGCAATCATTTTTATAAATCTTCCATAGCTCTACTCAAGAAATCAATTTCCAGAAACAATGATAACTACAGATAGAGGTAGTTCAATTTTTTTCCCTAAGTTTTGTATGCACAATTTATGCAAGTGCAACACTTGCATTACTTGTTCATTTGCTTTAGGTGTATGTTTTGTGTTATGAAGTTCCATAGTTTCATCAGCCAAATGCAAGTAATAGTGAAAATTTACTTCAATCTGTTAGTGGGAAGCTGCTTAGTAGAATTACTGACATTTCTTAACATGAAACCAATTTAATATATTTCTTATTTATATTTGTATTAAAATAGCAAATACTTCAAAATCAGAAATTATATCTAAAACTGGAATTCTCCTTGTTATTATTTCATTGCACACCAATGCTGCTCTAGTATTTATGGTTCATGGAAACCTCATCTATGGCAACCTTTTGCTCCAAATTTTTTCAGAAAGTAGAGTGTTAACTTGGTGCTTAGATAACCCTACATTCAGTGGTTGTAGGTTTCATGTGTGGCAGATTTTTGTTCTTTCAATACAACAAATGTTAAAATGCTCACATCTCAACCTGTATTTTTTGCCTAGTAAAAGGAAAAAAAGAAAGTCCACAGCTCAGGTTACTGCTTATGAAATAAAGGTGCAACTTAACCATGCACCTGTTTCAGAATCACTGTGAACATTTTGTTCACTATCTGTATAATCTTAATAAAATGTATTTATTCAGTATTTTTTCTAAAATATATGCCAGACATACTGAAGTCCTGAGTGTTTTATTTTTTTAGGTTGTTTTCTGGCTGATCATATTGAGACCCATAATTTCTGTTCCATGGCCATACTGCCTATGTCTCCTTTAGCAAATAGGGAGTACCACTAGGAGCAGATTTGCAGGGTGAAACACTCAGTGCTTGAGCCCTGCTGTCCACACCACGCTTTTCCAAAGCTGTTGGATATCCAAAGTGGTCTAGCCTGGTTTTGTGGAATGAAATAAATGTAGTGTGTTTAAATAAATGTAGTGTGTGTGCTCTGAGGCTGTACAAAGGGAGCCAGGTGGGGGGAAGGTGGGAGCTTTGGGAGATTCACTTCAGTGGGATGCTTCTGATCAAAACTAAAATGCAATACTCAGTTGTACATTACCTGTTTCCTGGCTTGTTTAGTTTTGATCTTTCCGGGTGGGGTAGGAGAACAATAAGTATATGTCTAAAAACAATAGTGAAAGCCTTTAAACAGAAGTTTGGTTGGAGCTAATGCCAAGTGACTCCAGCTCTGTTGCTTTGCATACTGATAATATGTAAGCCTTTACCTATCAGATTAGAAGAAAAGTTGGCAACGTGTCATCTAAGAGAAAATAAAATGGCCTTCCTATTGTTCCAGGGTGTTTTCTGGGGGCAGTTTTGGTTCAGAACTCAGTCTGCTTACTGTGATTTATATTGGAAATCTTTAATTGCTGTATATTTTTTCTCATGTCATTGTGGGAAATAAAACCTAATAATGCAACCATACAATAAATTTAGTGCTTATATTTTTAAAGATGACCATTTTATTGCTGTCTTAAAACAACTCTACTACCTGTGAAGAAGTCTCATTCAGTTATTTAAGACATTTGTCATTCTCTGCTTTTAGAGAAAATGCTGTTCTGTGCCAAAACTGCTCCCTGGTTGATAGTGTATCATTCAACAATTACACCTAAGGAAGTTCTAAAACTTTTTAGCTAGATGAATCTACTGGATGAATTGGAGATGTTTTAAAATATTATCTTGCTAAAATTACACCCTAGAATGTTCTTTGCAAAAAATTTATTCCTGCTTCTGACACATATTTAGCTTGATAGTAGATGCTACTTACTTTATCCCCAAACAAGACTATAGATACGTTTTGCTTTTCAGTTTTAAAATTTGCAGGTATTCAGCCCATGACTTAGTATTATTCACACTGCCACTAGAAGAAGGAAGGAGAAAAATCTTGAATTCATATACTTTGGTTGTGGTTTTTTTAAAGTACAACTCCATTTTTTTCTTCAAGGCATTGAAACGCAATGATAATTTTTCAGCAACTCTTTTCTAAAACCAAACAAATAAAAAACCCACCCCACAAACATGAAAAAACATACCATATGTATTCAACAATGGAGACTAATTGCACAAGAACTAGATGTTCTCAACTTTTGCTGAAGTCAGTAGAAGTTTATATGGTACAAAGCATCTGGAGAATCTCATAAAGGCAGAGGAACTGTTCTAAAGGCAGCAACTGCTTTGGAAATCCTCAAGTATAAAAATTTTCTCTTTTTGTATGTCAAAATATCAAAATTCTCTTCTGCAGAGGACTAAAATCTTGTATTTAAATGATATCTGTAGCAAATAGGGAGTGTATTGCTAACTATTGCTTTTCCCCAAGTACAAAAGGTTTTATGATCAGTGTCTCATGAAGTCCTGGGTACCTAGACATCAGTGCAGTGAAATGGGTGGGATGGGGACAGGGAGAAGCATTTGCTCACAGTGTGTTCAGCTGAGAGCATTTAAGGAGCCTGGAAACCCTGATGGGACTTTCACCCCCTGCTATCTAACATGCTGTACAGAGTGTTTTGCCAGCATGTTAAATGTTAAATCATAACCTGTTCCTTCCTGCCCTGTGAAATTACTTCACTTTGGTTAATAAATTTCTGCTGGGGAAAAAAACAATCCATTCTATGACAGTGGAAATGCAGAAGTAGCTTAGAAAGCATTTGATCATTTGTTAAGGTTGTTGTTTCATATTATTTGGCATAATATATTCCAGTGCCCTGGTGCTTGTCTTCCAGGGAGGGTGGGGGTTGTGGTGGCCCCCTCCTCCCCCTGGCTCTGCTAACATTGCCTGGTATGGCAAATGTGCTCCCTGTCACATGGCAGAGCGTGGCCGCACACTTGTGCATTCTCCTCATTGCAGGGCAGCTGGATCTGGCCCTGCCCCCCTCTCCCTATCCCTCTATTTGCCTTGGAGCAATTCATTTTGCAGTTATTGAATTTCTTTGGAGAGTTATTTTCATACAGCGAGCATCACAGCACCTCTGGATCTTGATAGCGTTTCTACATAAGGAGAAAGAAGCTTTGTGTTAGTAATTACCTAACATTGTCAGGAGCTGACTGCAGGCCTCTTTCTAGTGATAACAGAATAACCACATAATGTAGCTTTATAGCACATGATTAATAGAAAATAATTACACATCCTACAAAGGGATGCAATATTTCTTATAAATTGACTACAATGGTTTCCTGTAGATTAAAGGACTCTTCATTATTTTATCAGTCCTTCTGAAGTATAGTTGCTTGCCTATGTTAGCAGTGATATTAAGAGCTGAATGCAGTGAGGGATACCAGATGGTAAACCCAGTGGTACCTGAGATCTGAAACTGATGCTTGCAAAAGCACAGTGTTTCCCAACTTTTTTTTTTCATATAAAACCCCTAACTGTATTCATATCCTTCTGTATATTAATCCTTATTTTCCACAAATGTGGGTTTCAGAGTTTTATTCTACACATCTTAAACAGCAGTGATAGACATATGGACCTCACAAAAGCAGTGTATTAATGAAATTATATTGCTGCAAAGGAGTTTATAATTTGTAACATTGATAGAAACAATACATCAATTTGGATTTTATGTGTGACTTCAAGAAAGGACATGGGGGGCTGTTTATCTGCCTCACTGGTTGAGCACTTTTTCATGTTACCGAGGATAGGAAGGAGAGGTTAGGAGTTTTAAAGAGAAATGTCTATTCTTCAATCAGTTTAAAAGGGAATGCTAGCTAATTATTCTAAAACCAGATATTAAGGTTTTATGTTCTTGATAGCCAGGTATCTGCATTGTATTTTTGTTCAGACTCCTATAGACTGCAGATAGTTTAATTGGGCTTCATGTTGCTCTCGAGACCCATGCAAAGAATAGTAATGTAAAGTAAAGGCTTCTGTGTTGCAATATTGTCTGTATGGTATAATGGTTGCAGTGAATCCTTAAATTAGTTTACTAGTCTGTTACATCAACATTCATTTCATCTTCTCACTTAGCTTCATGCCAGAGCAGTAAGTGGTGTATTAGTAAGTAGCAAAACCCAGAAAGTTTTCAAAAGAGCAGCATGCTTTTAATTTTAATTTGAGCTATCTGAATTGTTTCTTTAAAAACAATTGTTTCTAAGTCCATGTAGTGTTGCTAAGTGGAACATTTTCAATGGATAATGTAATCCACAAGCTTTTTCTGTGCCATTTGTCATATGCAGTTTAATGACTGCTTAACTGAGCCACTTCCCTCATTTCATGTATTGTTTGTTTTTTTGGCTGATGTCTAGCAAAACTTGCTTAATCACTCTTGTCAGTCACTGTGCGAATTCCGTGTAGCAGCTTAAAATCTTTTGTTGCTTTCTCTTGGAGAGATTTATTGCTGAGATTCCAGTAGTATACGTGAGTGCTGCTCCTTTCAGCAATTTCCCACTTCAGTCTTGAAATCTAGTTTGTATATTTAAACAGTGTATTGTGAGATAAAGTATAGATTTTTAAACAGGCTGATCTGGAAGATTATAAACCTCAGTGTCAGGGTATTGTTTCGCCTTTAAGGATTTGGGGTGTAATGTGAAGCCTCATGGGAAAGGTTATTAACTTCTGTGGAGAGCAGTGTATACTGAAGATCAGGTTCAGATACCTCTGGACTTTCAAGACCAAACCCATCCCCAGCAGTCTGCTTTGCAGTGGAAGGGGGAAGAAGGTGGAATTATTTTTGCAGCTTTTTTGTTTGCATGTTCACATAATAAATGAAGGTTTTCCTGCTGTTTTTTAAGTGGATTTCCTTTAAATCACACTTACTGCAGTATTTCATGCATAGTAGGATAGAATCTTTTACATTACCAATTCATTGTTAAGTGAAGGGAGAAAATGTTTAATTGAAGACTAATGTTCACCCTTCCACAATTAGAAAATACGAAACTGTGTGTGCTTGCATGCAAGCATTAAAAAAAAAAAGGCAAAGAAAAAACAAAAAAGCCCACATGAAAGCAGGCCATCATAGTTAAGCACAGAGAGAGCTGAGTACACTAAGCACCTCATAGGACCCCAGAGAACTCTTGACCAGGCTAAATATGCCAGCAGAAAATCATTATAGCTCGGGCTAATGAAACACCATTAACCCTTAAGCTCCACTTGGCTATTTATAACCAAAAAACTTTACCTACAGTTCAAAATAGTAGCTTCATCTCAGTAGGACCAGTAGTTCAAAATTCTTCAAAGAGCCTTTTCCTCTTCTCATCAAAAGAACAGTGTAGCAGGAAGCAGATGCTGCTTATCAGAGATATCTGTGTATTTTGTATTTTGCGTATTTGTTCCAAAGTAATTTCTATCTTGCTAATCATTCAGTTTTGAGTATGGTCTCTGTTTTAATAATGCTTCATTTGTAATTCAATATATGTGTATGTGCAATTCCAGCTGTTACAATTTATTGAACCATTGTTAGGATTGATCTTAAAATATCTCATATCTCTTATATGACACAACATACAATAATTACATATCAGTATTACATTATTTTATTTTTACAATAATTATATACCACAATACCGCAATACTCTTACTTAGTACTGCTTTTGGAAGATATTATTTCTTTAAATGATTATAATTCATTTTGTTTCGTATTTATCTCACTAAGCCTAAGCATATTTGAAACAGAAGTACATTAGTCATCTGTCAGGAATATGAGATCTGCTGTAGAATTTCCTGCAAGCCTAAAGCAATAGTAGACTTTGTCCATAGAAAGATATTATGTATTAGATATATAGTGTTCCCTTCACATTGGAGTGAAGTAGTTTTTAAAATAAGTTGATGGTTTCTTAGAGTTTAGCTTGTGATACTAAAATAATCCCTGTTGATTGTTATATGTCAATGTTGTGCTATTAGATTTTAGTTACAAAGACAAGATTTTTGTATTTTTGATGAACAGAGGATAAGGAGGTTGGCTATTTTTAGTAGGTGTTAGAGAAGCATGGCCATAATTAAGAAATTTTCTTGAGTATGCCTGGTGTTTTTAAAATTTACCTTCTGCCTTTGCCTAACTGCATGTGAATGCCTATAACAAAAAGATAAAATGTTTTAATTTTCAGTTGAAATGATTATAACTATATATAAGGGAAAGCATCCATAAGGAGTTGCATACAAAACTCTATTGCATTTATATCAGACTAAAGGTTAATACTGCGTATTGTTTTCAATTAGGAGTACAATAGATTTGGCTGGTGGGTAGGAGAAATGAAGGGAACCATTGGCTTGGTGCCTAAAGCCTACATAATGGAGATGTATGATATTTGAGAGGCCTGGGTAAGTACATTTTAATCCAATCTTCTGTAATGGCTTATATGTTCCCTTGTTCTCTGTTTCATAAGTATGTCTTTCCTGGAACCTTTGTAGGAGTCCTGTTAACATAAAGATTATAGCAAAATATATTGAAGGTTCAATTAAAGTACTTTTTTTTTTCCCTGGGGTTCTATATGAAATATTAAACCACAGGGTACAAAAGATTATATATTTAATAACTGTGTTCTCTTTTCCAAATTTTTAAAAGAATAAAATTGATGTTGTTTATATTTAGTTTTGTTACTTTAGTAATACGTATATATCTGTCTGTGCAGAAAACTGTGGAAGGGGATGGATATTTGGACAGGGCTTGACATGCATGTTTGAGGTTTTTTGGCTAATGATGAACTTTCAACTTCCCTCTCCCTAATCAGGAGAAATCTGCACTTGAAATGAAGAGTGGTGTGCAGCTGCAGTTTACAGAGCCAGCCTCTGGAAGACAATTCTGCTGTACATGTTTTGCGGTTTCAGCGAATGTAGTCAGATCATTGCCTCGTGTACATTAAACATTATAAACTGTAATTGATCATAACTTTATGGAAATGGTCTGCTTAGGCACTTTTTATAGAATTTTAATGCTAGGAAATTAATAGATGGTAATTAACATATGGGGCACAAGCAGCCATATAGTTCCTGTTGCTCTTTTTTGAACATGTCAGCAGCACTCTGTATAGCTGTAGGTTGGTGTTCTCTCAGGGAATTTTGCTATCTTTTCCTGTTCTGCAGATTCACAAAAATGATGCAGAACTTTGAGGGTAAACTCTTACTCAATTCATGCATTCATTAATCTTTTAATGCTCACTGTTCATCATGTGCAGTTTTATCAGAAAGTTGAGGGAAATTTATGTATATTTCAAGTCTATATTTCAAGTCTTCAGGGTAGTCTGTTTCCAGATGTTTTTAAGTTATGCTTTTAGCCAATGATTAATTTTTCTATATTTAGTATTGTTAATTACTATTTTGTTGACACACAATGAAGATTTGATTATTTTGCTGATATAATAAATGGGCTTGTGTGGTAGTACTGCCGTGGTACCATTCTGACTTGTTATGGTAATTCTGTGGAAATTTGTGAAAATACATTAAACCCTAAAATTTTTGCTAAGTCAATGCAAGATAAATTGCTGGTAAAAATATTTTTGTCCGTGGTAGTGTGAAATATTTTACCTGTACCTTACAGATATTTTTGCAGAGTCAAATCTGGATACCTTGCTGCTATGTGGAATTCTGATACAGGTTGTGCGACAGAGATCTTCATCTTCACCCTGTGTGGATTAGCAACAGTTACCTGCATTCTTGTGTCAAAGCCAGAACTTTGTGGCTAATCAAAAACATTGATTTAAACATAAAAAGGTACACTAAAATACTACCACTTGTGGACAAGTGGTTGGGCAAGTCAGAGTTAATCTTCTTTGGGAGATGTACTTTACCATTAGCATGGAAGATCAACTTTTTTGGGTCCTCCCAGACAGTTGATTTGTGAGACCCTTAATCTGCTAGCGAGGCAGGTCAGGCCAGCCTGTGAGCTGCTGAGCCTGTGCAGGTCCCCGTGTAGTTGCTTGTGCTGTTTATGCTTCAGGCAGACCCCGCGGACTCTGGGGGTTAAAAGGAAACGTCAGCCTGAACTCGGAATTTGGATCCTTTCAGTAAACTAAGATGTTGTTCTCTGTGTCAGCTAATGTATGGTACTTGCTGGTACACTGAATTCTAATAGGCGTCAAACGGGACCGAGTTTTGTTGTAATTTTTTAAAGAGATAGTCATTGGAATTGATTCTGTGTGTTATCAGCGAAGCATTAAAATGATAGATTATAGTCTTCAGATCTTTTACTACTTTAATTTGTCAAGCGTACTGGTGGATTGTGTACAGAATGTGAAGCGTTAATAGCGGGGCTGGAAACGCTCCTTCTTCCTTGTTAACATGGCAGCGCCATAAATCTGCCCACCGAAATGGCTTTTTATTAATTACAGAATTCCGAATCCCACCACCACCACCACCACCACCACCATGTACTTTTTAGGGAATGAGCCCTCCCCCTGCTCCCGAGACGCGGTGCGTTCGCTCGGTGCGGGGCGCGGGGCGCGGCGCGGGGGCGGCCCCGGCGCGGTCCCTGCGCTGCGCGGCCGCGGCGCTGGGTGGCAGCAGATTTTCGTGGGACGGGCGGAGGCGGGTCCCGGTGCCGGTGCCGTCCCTGTCCCCTTCCCCCTTCCCCCTCCGCGCTGTCCCGCGCCGCTTCTGCCGTTTTTCCAGGAGAGGGAGTCCTTACCCAAGCGATGAGGGGCAGAGACGCCCGGCGCGGCTTCTCCTGGGTGGTGACAACCAGAGACATCAAGTGGCTTTTGTCTGTAATTCTCTTTTAGGGCTTCCCCCTTCTTAGGGCTTATTGCTAGGGGGGAGTAAATAAATTGCCTTAAATTCAAAACGTGAAAGGTGTCCCGAAACTCACGGGTAATATCTCAGAATAAACCAGCGATGCACCGCGGATGAAAGTTTACTTTAAATCCGTGCGAATTCCATAACCTTTTTTGGATAAGAAAATCTCAGTTAATACAACTCAGACAAAACTCAGGTAGAAGATGCTAATTGCTTAATTTTCTTTGTTCACTTAGATTGTGCTTGCCTTTCTGTAAATGGTGAGAGAGCAGATTTTTAAAAAGTGATTCTAACTCACATTGTACAGCGTTTTACTTGATTATTTGCTGTGTTCTGGATTTGTATGGTACTGCCATTAGATCTTATAATAATGTTCTACTCTGCAAATTTTTAAGGTTCAAATAAAGTTTAATTGTTTGCAAACTGTTATGATGCTAATAATTCAACAGCCTGCTGTGTTACTAATGAAATTACTTTGTTATGATTAATTTGGAAAATAGTGTGTTGATTGTAGTAATTAAGCACAACAAGGTGAAGTAAATGATTCTAATGCCATCTGGCCTCCAGACTGAATGAAGAAATGAAATGGGGCTGTCATTTGAATTTATTCAGAGAAGTAAGGGTAATACAAATGCTTTTTATAGCAGAGGCACCCGGATATAATCATGCCACTCTCTAGTATCTTTTCATGTGCTTCTGTATACGGATAACTGGTTCCCATATTTTTGCAGCATCTCGTTAGGATCTACCTCTTTGTGCATACTGCCACTAATTACATGTTCTGATGGCGGTGCATGCACTGGTTCTTCTATCAGAAAGATGTATGGATAAGATTTAGAGAAGTGATATGGCTCAGCTTACCTTTTGCTCCCCTATTACGGATAAAAACTTTCTGTGACTGGAATTAAGCTGAAAGTGAATGCTAATTAAGATCCCATTCTAAATTCAAAGCTAAATGCATAAACTTATTTCCTTTTTTTGGCTCTGCAGTCTGAGTATGACACAATATTAGAAGGAACGTAAAGAATAACCCTTTAGAACCTGATCCAAAGACTGTTGAAACTGAGAAGCTATTGAATTCACTTGCTTTTGCATCAGGATCTCAAACAATAACTCAAAAACAGGCAATACAGTTTCAAAGTGCTTTTTTTTTGCTGAATGTTCTTTGTCCTCTTTCTGAAGGAGATGCAATTATTTCCATAAGCTGAACCAAACAAAAGAACAGCTCTTATTTCTCTAAGCCAAATGATAGAAATCCATTTTTCTATCTCAGATAAAGCAAAATGAGGTTGTGGGTGTAAATTAGAATCCTGGCTTGATAAAGTTCAGTGGGATCTATAGGGAAGCTGTAAAATATTAATATGTGGTGAAAGTACCCAGGTAGATGGCAGTTGGTTGCATGAGCCATTTGAAGCTTCTCTCATCTCTCACTCAAGTTGATGAAAAACTTGTTAGTACGTAACTGTGGGAATAAGCATATGCACGGAAACCTCATACACAACTTTACAGAGCATGAAGTACTGATAAACTCTATAAGACCTTCACCTACCAGGGTTTCTCTGAGGCTGATATTTCTCAGACAGAAGTCTGCTTAATTCTATCTTTATTTAGGAAATCTGACACTAAGCTCAGCAAGGAGTGCTCTGCCAAATCTGCATCTCTGTCTTAGAGTTAATTTCCTTCCCAACGTCCATTGTCTTACTGTGAGGGACCAGCACCAATCAGCTTCACATTATGAACTTAAAATTGTGGATTCAAGCTGAGTGTAAGCACAGGATTTGGTACTTCTGGGATGCAATTGTGACTTGACTCATCTTTCCATCCTACAGGAAGAAGTAAAGGGGGCTTAGATGGTGGCAGGATGTGCAAGTGAAAGGAATTCAGCTTTTCTTATCCAACAGTGTTGTGCTAAGGAATATATATGTTTATTTTCTCTTTAATTGTAAAGCAGATCAGGCAGTGATAACCCATGAATTGTTATATCATAGCCTTTTACAGATTTGTTTAGGAGTAATTTTGTAATGGGATCTGGACAATTCTCTTTGTGCTCTCTGGAATTGTCATTAGTCCAAACTATCACGCAGAGAAATTCATAGAAATGCAGTTGCTGGGTTCAAAGCAAAGTAGAGGAAAAACCTCTGCACCTGAAAGCTATGTCAACATAAGTCAAATTTAAAACTGAAACTGTCAGCTTCTACCCAGCTTTTTGGGAGGACAAGTCTTTTAATTAACAAGAGAAGCTTAAAAATCCAAGGTGTCATCTTGTAGCAATGTGTCAGAGAATAAAGTACAATAGTGCAGGCAGTCTGAGAAGAAGAGCTGCTGGTAGATGAAGAGGCAGATAGTTTCAAATGCCACTAAAAACCAATCTATCTCTATTAATTTTCTGCTCTAGCAAACTGATATGTTGGAGCTTTTATCCTAAAGTATCCTCACTGTCTCACAACCCATAGAGCAAACTTCCTTTCACCCTTTATTGTAAAGCAAGTGCTACTCCATAAAGAGATTTGTTGGCTAATGAGCATTTTACAGCAACACTTTAAAGTTTATGCTGTGAGATGAAAAAAAAAATCCACATTAAGTTACAGTGGGAGGATTTATGTTGGCAGAAGAGAATTACCAGTTTGGCCACTTCCAATCTGCTGTAATTGCTTCCATACTTGTAAATAGTGCTGTGGGATTTTTAATGGCCATGGCAATAAGGACTTTAGTTTTACACCTCATGCTACAAGATGAGTATGTAGTACCCCAGAACTGACCCCTGTGCAGAACTGCCTGGGGTAAAGGACAAAAGTATTGCACAGGATCATTATCAATCTTTGAAAAGCCAGCAGCATGGATGTGTGCTTTGGCAGCCTCCCACCCAAGAGCTGACATGGCCCAGTGCTGCTTTTTAATAGTCAAATCTAATAGGGTCAGCATGAGAAGAGCAGAGCACAGACAGTCTGACAGGCTGGGGCTACTCACTTTGTTCATTGGGGGTCTTCAGCCTCTCAGACTCATTTCAGTGTGGAAGAGAAAAGATGAAATCTGTAAACAGTCACATGGCATCAGGAAACCATCTTCCTTTTCTGTTGCTCTCTTTCAAGAGGACTGCCATTCTTTACTTATATTTAAATTAAAAGCAGTCAGGCATGAATGCACATGTGTGTGTAGGAAGGAGTGGGGTTTATTATATCGTCACTTACAATCTTGTTTTGATGCTGGTTTCTCTCTTCTGGTGTTTACATTGACATGCTCATAATGGCCACGCTACCTTTACCACAGAAAAAAGGTATTTCTAGCTTTAAAAAAAATCCCAACTATTTGCAGTTCTTGAAAGGCTCCATCCTATTAGCTCCTCTTTTGTTATTTTCCACCATTTTAGTGCATTGTGTCAGCAGTATCTTATCAAAATCTATGTCTTTTGTGACAGTAATTTTTGCTTGCGTGTAAAATACTCCAGACTAATGTTTTGAAGTTTTGAAACTTCTTTCCTTATTTTCAAGCTGATTTTGGACTTAGTTTTAGGGTATTAGACCTCAATGAAAGGGGAAGGAGTGAACAATCTGTATATCTAGAGTTCTGTTACTTGACTGAAAAATAGGCAATCCATATTAGCAATTGTGAGAACTGCCTTGGAAGGTCTCTAAACTAACCAGCTTCCTTTCCATTCATTTGTTTCTGATTCTGAGACTCACACAGAATGCTTGACCACTTCCACACTGAGACTACCTATTCAGCTACTTGCTGTCCTCTGATAGCCACCCAAGGTCACCTATAGGTCATTATTGACTTGTGACCAGAGCTGCCTCCCTCTAATGTGTTTGGTACTGCTTTAAAGGCAGAGCTCAGGAAACAAACATCTTGTCTTCTGAGCTTTGTAAATTTTCAGGTGAGTGAAAGTTCAAAATGCAGAGGCATCATCCAGAATAATATCTCTCACTAAGCATGTTTATGATTTGTATTTCTCTGAATACTCTGTCTTCACTTTACTCCTGCATTCATTTACTTAAAAAAAATTGTGAAGAGGAGAACATGTATCATGAGATGCCTTCCTGAAACATCAGATTTTGACAGAATTGGGTCAAATTAATTTTTCACGTGCAGATTATGTGAATGCTACTTGAGAGTGGGAACCTGAATCCATACAGTGGTGGTTTCTGTCAGGCTTTGGCGAGCAGAGGAGAACAAAGAGCTACATGTCTGGCCCTTAGCTGAAAGCTGAGCCTTACTCATCTATGTCTGATATTATCTTAGGTCCTTCAGCTGCCCTGTTGCTTCTGAGCATCTCTAATAAATTCAATGAGCTAGAAATTTATGCAGGTGTTTGTCCATCAGGTTTGGATCAGGGTTTTGAATTATAGCCTGATCTGACAGAATGGCATACAAAACCATGATGTGATATGTTCCCATTTGTGGGTCCTCAGACTAGCTGATGATTCTAAGAAGCACACGTGGACCACAGAG